AGGCACCGAGCTGCCCGGCGGCAACGTGAGTGCCAACCAGAGCGCCTCCGACCCCACGTTGTCGAGGGACGTGTGGATGGTGGGCATGGGGATCCTCATGTCGGTGATCGTGCTGGCCATCGTCTTCGGGAACGTGCTAGTGATCACCGCCATCGCCCGGTTCCAGCGCCTTCAGACTGTCACCAACTACTTCATCACCTCTCTGGCCTGCGCTGACCTGGTGATGGGGCTGGCCGTGGTGCCCTTCGGCGCTTGCCACATCATCATGGAGATGTGGAAGTTTGGGAACTTCTGGTGTGAGTTCTGGACCTCCTTGGACGTGCTTTGTGTCACAGCCAGCATTGAGACTCTTTGTGTCATTGCCGTGGACCGGTACTTTGCCATCACCTCCCCTTTCAAGTACCAGAGTCTGCTGACCAAGAGCAAGGCACGTGTGGTCATCCTTGTGGTGTGGGTGGTCTCTGCCCTCACCTCTTTCTTGCCCATCCAAATGCACTGGTACCGGGCAGACCGTGACGAGGCCATCTTGTGCTATGAAAAGGACACGTGTTGTGACTTCTTCACCAACCAAGCCTATGCCATTGCCTCCTCCATCATCTCCTTCTACCTGCCGCTCGTGGTCATGGTATTCGTGTATGCCAGGGTCTTCCAGGTGGCCAAGAAGCAGTTGCAGAAGATAGACAGGAGCGAGGGAAGGTTTCACACCCAGAACAAGGAGCAGGAGCAGAAAGGTGGAGCTGGACACCGCCGTTCCTCCAAGTTCTTCCTGAAGGAGCACAAGGCCCTCAAGACCCTGGGCATCATCATGGGCACCTTCACTCTGTGTTGGCTGCCCTTCTTCATCGTCAACATCGTGCACGTAATCCAGGACGACATCATACCCAAGTACGTGTACATCCTCTTGAACTGGCTGGGCTATGTCAACTCTGCCTTCAATCCTCTGATCTACTGCCGGAGTCCGGACTTCAGGTATGCGTTCCAGGAGCTCCTGTGCCTCCGCAGGTCCGCCCTGAAGATGTATGCCAACGGCTACTCAAACAGCAACGGCAAGAGCGACTACAACGAGGAGGACAACGGCTACCCCTTGACATCGGATAAAACCTGCGAGCTGCTGTGCGAGGAGGGCTCCTTCCCGCACCCCGAGGAGTTTTTGCACTGCAAAGGTACCGTGTGGAGCGGGTGGCGGCCGGGAGGGTGCTGGCGGTATTTGGGGCTGTGCGGAAAGCTCGTCCCCAGAGGAACTTCCTGGCCGTGGCCGGTGTTAAACTTGACCTTACCGTAGGGGCCGGTGGCGGGAGCTCGGCCCGGCTGCTTCCCCCGCCCGGCGGCAGCGGAGCCGAGTTTCCCCCCGGAGCCTTCCCGGTTCCTTGCCATAACCAAGCCGGTGGCCGTGGGACC